CACTGTACAAGAACTGTCTGGTGGACTGAAAGGTGATGGATGGCCTTTGCTGTGGGTAGAGCCACCACCACGGGTCAGCTTTTCTCTCAGGCCATTTGCCTCTCTGCAGTGACAGTTTTGAGTAGTTTGGTTTGCCCAGGAGGAGTCATGATTCTCACTAGAAATCCAGCCCTGCCTTGGGAATCCCAGTAACTCTCTCTGCCTTGTAGGTCAGGCATGTGCTGGCCTGATTTACCCCATAGCATGGCTCCTGGGATTTTTACCTGTCTGCATCCGAATAAGACCTGATTGCGTGCTGTGGTAGGAAATCCATGCATGTTGGCCAGGCCAGTCCTGTCATACACTCCCAGAGATTTGCCTGTTTGGGGGAGAGGTGAAACACGCATAGAAACTGGGTGGTCTGCAGTGCAATGTGGTGAATTGAAAACTAGACCATAGGTGCTACAGTGCTGGAGTCTTTGCTATGGCATGGGGAGGCTGTTTTATTTATCTTTGTTTTCCCATTTATGTTAGAAGCCTCCTTTTTTTTTTTTTTTTTTTCTTTTCTTTGCTTTTTCCTATTGCAATTCATTTATTCTAAAGCCTCAAGAATAAATCCTCAAGGAAGAGGAAATTATTTGTTTCTATTGCAGAATCAGTTGATATACCCTGCCAGGTCCTATGCTCTTTGCTGGTAATGTTACATCTGAGACCAAAAATCCCCTTAGGGTTCAAAGTCACTTTGGCCCAGCAGCATAGATGAGCCTCAGAGCGCAAAGAGCTATAATGGAATGAGAAGCAATTTGTGTGTATATGTTTTCAGACTTCATACATTCAGAGACTTGTAATGTCCAAAGGGAAGAGCGAGAGAATTAAATACCAATGAGCAGAGATAGATGAGCCCTGTGCAAGTCAGTTTTCAACACAATACAATACAAACTGCCAGGAGCTTTTGTAAATTCATTGAAAACAGAAAGAAATCATCTTTGTTCCTTTGTGCCAAGTATTACTTAAACTCACACCTCTCAAGCACGTATTTGATTAAATCCTCATCCAGCCTGATCTTACTGCAGGGATGTTAAAACAGCCTGTAACATCTCTAGTGACTTAACGTCATATGTGACAGCCCAGGTTGTGCCAAGTTCAAAATTTTCTGTACAAGCTTGCAAAATGGATCGATCAATCTTCCTGAGTATCTGTCCTGTTGTTCCTGTTGATTTTTTTTTTTTCATTCATCCTGGCAAACCAAAGCTTTGCTATCAAAAATGTGTGCCCCACACCTGTGATGGTCAGTGGGAGCACTGGATTTGTATCCAAGCTTTGAAATTGGACCTCTGGTTTCCCACCCGATATTATGTGGTGATGAGCAGGGCTGAATGTATTGCATGAGACTGTTCCAGGTCATCTGGGGACTGTATAGGAACTGGTGAAATAAAGCCCTGGGTTGTACTACAAGTTGGGATCCCTGAAGCAAAAACCAATTTTTTGCTTTATTTATGTACTTATCCCTGCTTGTCCCCATTTCTCTTCAATAAGCAAAGCACACAGTCCACACTAAGTATAGTAACACTGTCTGTGTTCACGCCAGCAGCCCTCAGATCATGATAACCTTTTTGGTCTGTAGAAATGAATCATTCCTAGCATGTGTGCACACATTCTGATGATGCTGCATTATCGGAAGACCTTTGTTATGGCATATTGCTCACACAGCAATACACAGTAGTATCAAAGGGCTGCCCCAGAGTGATGGACACAAAAGGAAACTGGGGAGTCTGAACAAGGACATGGATTAAGGTCTACAGGAAGATGTATTTTGAAAAATAATGTATATTATTAACATCATTACTAGTAACTTTGAAGTCAGAATCTTGCTGGAATCATAATCAGAAAATGTACTGTACACGATGTGGTATATGTCAAAGGGGGAACTACAAATTAGGTAAATTTATCTATTTTGCTCATGAGGTGAGCTTTAGATGTGGGATTTGGCAATACAAACATGATCACTAAAATCATATGCTACTAAACAGCACTAAACACCATTCTATCATGACATAAACAAATTAAATCCAAGAAGGCTGTGCTTGAGGCAGCTTGAGCACACTGGAGGGCATATTTTCATCATTGTTCCATGAAGATGTTAAATACCGCTTAATTAATAAATGCTTTATGTGTGAGTTACCAGAGAGTCAGCATTCAAAATAAAGGATTCCACAGAGCTACATGGTTCAGGCAGAATTTTCCTTCATCAAAAAGCTTGAAGCTGGTATCAAAGATAAATTTTCTGTCTGTCTATCTCAGGTGTCTTCGGACTATGGATTACCTGGAGGTAACTCACAAGTAAAGCTGAATTTTGTAGACTACGCTGTGTGACATTTACCTCTGTAATTGTTTTAACAAAGCAGTGGCTCGATAGGAGATTCCCTGTTAGTCTCTACCCTCTGGATAGCCATATTTCAGCCAAGTGGTTTGAGGTGGATTTCTTGCTCTAGCCCAATGGTCTTGCATGCTGTGTTAAAGCATATGTTGCCCTGAAAGTAAAATGACCTGTATAATAATTGCTGATCTTGAAATAGGGTGCAAAGCATAGTAAGGGGAGAAGTGGATTTGATGTCATTGTCTTTCAGTAATTAATCACAGTAGGGAGCTCAAAACAAGAAAGAAGTTATTGGTGGTTAGGTCCACACTGTCTGTTGAAATTTGCCTAAGGTAAAAATCACAGAATCATAGAATGGTTTGGGTTGGAAGGGACCTTAAAGATCATCTAGTCCCAAACCCCCTGCAATGTGCAGGGACACCTCCCACTAGCCCAGGTTGCTCAAAGCCTCATCCAGCCTGGCCTTGAACCCCTCCAGGGATGGGGCATCCACAGCTTCTCTGGGCAACCTGGGCCACTGCCTCACCACCCTCACAGTGAAGAATTTCTTTCTAATATCTAGTCTAAATCTGCCCTCTTCCAACTTAAATCCATTACCCCTCGTCCTGTCACTGCATGCCCTTATAAAAAGTCCCTCCCCAGCACTATCTCACCAACCTATACTACAAGTTTTCAAACACAGCTGCTAGGGCAGGCAGAGCCTCAAGGTTCCATACGACCTTGTGTGTACAAGTGCAGTTGATGATGGTGTGTCAGGAGACATGTTTGCAGAAGCTGTCCCACAAAGCACCACGGCATACAGGGCAGACAGAAGACAGTACCTTTGAAGATTTTTTGCAGGGCAATATAGAAACAGCCATATGATTTCCCTTTTTAAAACCAAATCTTGCTTGTGTTAGCCTACAATATCTCCACACTGGAACTATTCCATGCAACCTCAATCAGAATAATATCTTTTTGTTTAAAATCACACTTGCCAGTCAGAGCTTGAGCCAACAGAGTTTATCTGAATTTACAAGAATCACTTTGCTTCCAGTGTGATTTGGCTAATCCTGAGCATGTTGCTCACACTGGCACCTTTGGCTGCAGATCTCCAAAAGGACACCCCTGACCCTGGTCCACCCCACTGTGCTGAGGAGCCCATCCCTGAAGGGCCGTGGGGAGCTGGCAGTGAACAGCATGGACTCAGGCAGCAGCAGGACAGCAGGACGGCTTCCAGAAATAGATCCTGGACTGGAGTGAGATTTAGGGTGGCAATTCCCTGAGAAGGTTAACGCAAATGGGAATGCTGGATGTTCCTTCTAAGGCTTTTCATCTTGCAGTTTGGGCTTATCCCAAATTTCCTCCCCCTCTGCATGGAGAGAGTAGAACTATATTAAGTTTTCAAACTCAACCATAAGTTTGCTGGAGCTAGAGAAGGTCTGAAACATGCCTAGAGATGCTGTGACAGAAAGATCAGGCTGGAGATCTGGTGCTGCAACAGGCAAACAGCCAGGCTGGGGAGAAGTCTTCTGGCTGGGGCAATTACTCTCCACTTTGTAGCTTGACTTGTCACATCACAAGAGAGAGGTCCTTCTGCAAGACAGCAAACTCCTTACTTCGACCTATAAGTGCCGGAGCTCCATGCAATACAGGAATGATCCAATAGCATTTACCTGACTCTTGTTTCCTCATCTGTGGAAGGATGGCAAAGATATCGGTTCCCAGTGCACCTGGGAAGTGTCACAGATCCTGCCCTATGCTTTCCCCTTTGCTGTATCTCATGGCACTGCTGCTCTCACTAACAGCCAGGATCCCTGACAGCTCACATCGTCTCTCTAAGCACACATTACTTCCATGAGACAGGAAGCAAGCAAATACAATGGCACACCAAAAAAAGGAAAGAAAAAAAAAAAAAAAAAGGCACACAGACACCTGCTGTGAGTTTATTTTGACAAGTGTCATTTAAATGCAATGAGCTGTGATCATCTCTCCAGGGTGGCTGCAAACAGAAAGGAGCCAACTACGTAAACAAACCCAGGTGCTCGGGAGCGGACTGCGGCTTCTTCCGCTGGGTTGGGGGGCTGGCAGAGAAAGAGGGGGGAATGGGGAGCTTTTAGCATGGTCTTTGCCGTGGGCTGTCTTTCCCCTCTCCGCCAAGCCTGGTGGTGCAGGAGGAACCAGCGGCGTTCCCACGGCGGGCGCGCTGCTGTGCCTGACTGCGGCGCTCTGTGGGATGCTCTAGCGAGGAGGGGATGCGGAAGGGGGGGATGCGCGCTGTGTGGGGGACCTCAGGAGAGGAGAGAGAGGCGTGTGCCTGCCTGGAAGAGGGCATTTCTTCCCCGGTACACACAAGCCGATGCCTACCCTGCTGAAGCAGTTAAAGAGGGGAAAGCAGCAGCCAGGCTGGCAGATTCCTGCCCTGTGATATGCCAGCCACAGGGGGACGCAAGGGCTGGCAGGGCCCA